TGAAAAATCATCAATAAATATTTATTAAATTCTAAAAAAATTCTTAATAAATACTTAATTAGTTTTTTTTAAAAAAGTACCTAATAAATAATAGTTCAACTCTAATATAAATTAAATACTGCAATATTTTCCTAATAAGATTTGATTTTTCATTAATTTATTCACACTTTTTTATTATAAAATTTGACTTAAATTTTTTTAATATACTTTCCAATTATATAGGATTAGAATTACAAATCATTTTTAATATATAAAGAATGTCTTATTTTACAATCTGAACTATACCAAATTATAAAATATTGACTATTAGATAAAGATGAGACTCTAATATCAAAAAACTTACCTCATTTAATGATTATATAATTTGACACAGTTTAAATTATATAATACTTTTCAATATATAAATAGACAAACAAAAGAGGAAAAAAAAAAAAAAAAAGAGAAGAGAGGGGCAATCACTAATTTTACTGTCTCTTTCCTTAATCATAAAATCATAACGTTGGTCCTCAACTTTGAAGATTTTTGCACTTTACATCTTAAGTTTCAAAGTTTTACAATTTCATCCTCAATCTCACCACATTCAACTTCATAAAACATTGTGATTTAGTTCTAAATTTTTTATTTTTAAGAGTTAAGTACTATCTTGCACAAATAATGGAAATAATATAAAATCAAGTAAAAAAAATTATATCAAACCCATTCAAAGTATTAATAAAATAAAGACTAATTTGTATCATATTTTATAAGCATGGAACACTAATTATAATAGGTTAGAGTCCACTCCGAAGAAATGACAGGTTGAAACGCATGGTGTATGGATAAACCATCAACTGGATATGCCTTTAAGCGTAAGATCATAGTCGACTTATTTAGAGGTTCTAAGCGATCTCTTTTTGCCAAACAAGAGCCATAATGAACATGTAGACTTCTGCCTAAACAGCTAGTATGCTTAAAAAAAGTGACACAAATCCTGCTTCCATGTGAATATTATTCTGTAATGGACAACAAAAATGAAGTTTCAAAGCAAGCATGCTTCTCTCAATTGAATCAACTCCTTGTAAGCTCATAATTATGAATTGATTTATAGTGAAACTAGGTACTGTTCTGATTTGCAAATTGCAGTCAATACAGATAATGTGCAACTACTAGACTCTGAGACAAAGGAACAGTATGGCTCCAGGGCATACTTAAGGTTTTGGAATTTTCAGGTAAAAACAATATTTAGCTACTTTACGAGGGTATAGGTTTTTTCTTTTGAATACATGGAGTGAATTGTGAATCAACTTGCCTC